TTTTTTTTTTTTTTTTGAGCTGTTGGCTCTATGATTCATGTCCTTAGTTTCTCTGCTGGAACAGTAAAAAAAAAGGAAATTAACACAAACACTTTTGCTTCTTTTCTCTAAAGCACTGAAATAATAGAGAAAAAAATGAAATGTTGATTATATGGTAGCACGAGATAGGAACAGGAAAAGGATGATTTTTATGAGCTCATGTTCTTGCAACACAATTCATCAGTTTAAAATTCAAATGCTTGTCAAACAAGACAAGTTCTGCATGGTTATAACTTGGAAGCACGATAGCTATTGATTTTTAAATTTAGATTCTTTGTCTTTTTTGATTCATAGGAATGCACTGAGTTTAGTAAAATTTACTGCAATTTTAGTGGGAAGCAAATGACACAGTAAATATAAGAAAATAACTCAAGAAAAATGCTCAAAAAGTATTTTTCAGAGAATTGTGTATGCTCACAGGGCAAGCACATTTGTCAGGTTTTCCAGTACAGAACTGATTATAATATTCTCCCTTTCCTTTTCTTGAGGCGACACATTGAACTATAAGTCACAATTTTTGGCTCAGACAATAAAATTGTTACACGTATATTTTTCATGCATGCTGAAAGAGGAAACCAATTAAAACCTATAATATGTTTCATATTCACTAAGATTATTACATTTGTTTATTAGGATGTATAACCTCAAAAGTTATATTTACAATGGTTTTTGATAAGACTGAAAATAAGCAATAACAACATTTATTGCAGACACAAAGCCTGAAATTAAAACTGATTTTAAAATCAAAGGTAATAATAATATACCTTATTAGAATGACTACTGTTTAATAACATAATCAAGTGATAGTTTAAAAAACAACTATGTAAAATAACAAATCTGAATAATATTAAGTATACAAGAGTTTAATTAAGATACAATAGTAATAAAGTTAATTTCATCATTAAAAGGTTAAGAGTCTTCCCTATTCATGTTATGACCTAGCTTTACTTATCAAGCAATTTTGGGGATATTTAGAGGGTGATCATTCAATTCTATGTAAATGTGTACATATACAGCTTATACTGATTTTTCTTTGTGCCTGAATATTACAATATTATTTCCAAATACTATCTTAACCCTATCCTACTGATGTCTTTTTCAAGTTAGTAATATCTGATAGTTAATTTATAG